ATTCCAAACCCATATTCAAGTAGAAGATCCTCCTTCCTTCCTTCAAATAGATACCATTCCTAATTCCTATATGTAACCAGCCGCCTTCTTAAGTTGTGACTCTTCTACATAACCAACCACTTCCCTAAAACATTACCTGGTCCAATTGTTGTTCTAATCTTCACAAAAATGATAAACTTGACTAGGAGGATATCATTGTTTTCATCTGAAAGAAAAAGACACCTAACACTCTAGCGACCAACACCGATTCAGAAGAAGGCATATATCCTACACGTGACCAACTCATCCTCCTCGGTCCAAGTCCAACATCTGACCTTGATTAACCAATTGCACAGAGGAAAAGGGAAAGAAGTTGTACCAAGCATTCTATAAGTAATTTTGTAACATAGAACGGTTTATCCCCTAAAGTTACGGGTTTTTGTCCATAATGTAAATCGAGAAAGGGTCCCAACTTCCTATGGAGAGGTTATTGAATAGAAAAATTGGTAGCTAGCCATAAAGGAGGAAATCACAGCACTTGAGAAGAACAAGACTTGGGAGATCATAGATATGCCTCCTAGAAAATCCTTTGTTGGGTGTAAATGGATCTTCACAATTAAATTCAATGAATATGGAATAATCAACCATTACAAAGCCAGGTTGGTAGCCAAGAGTTTCATTCAAACTCAAGGGATTGACTACCAAGAAACATTTGCTCCTGTGGCCAAGTTAAATTCGATCAAAGTATTGCTCTCCATTGAGCAAATTTAGATTGGCCCCTTTGGCAAATGGACGTAAAAAAAGGGGAATAGCATCTTGAGGCAATATATAGAATTCTAAGGTACTTGAAGATGACTCTATATTTCAAAAAGGGGAATTAGTGTGACATAATTATTTATACTAATGTTGACTAGGTCAAGACTATGGCTGACAGAAGATCCATAACTGGATATTGCACTTTTGTGTAGGGCAATTTGGTTACTTGGCGTGGCAAAAAACAACCTGTGGTTGCTAGAAGTATTGTTGAAGCTGAATATAAAGCTCTTGCATTGGGAACTTGTGAAAGGATATGGATAATCAGACTCTTCAATGAATTGAATTTGCAAAATGAAACTCATATGAAGGTTTATTGTGATAACATGGCCACTATATGGATAGTCAATATATAGAATTCTAAGGTACATGAAGATGACTCCTGCAAAGGAACTGTATTTCAAAAAGGGGAACTAGCGTGACATAATTATTTATACTAATGTTGACTAGGTCGAGACTATGGCTAACAGAAGATCCATAACTGGATATTGCACTTTTGTGTAGGGCAATTTGGTTATTTGGCGTGGCAAAAAACAACCTGTGGTTGCTAGAAGTATTGTTAAAGCTGAATATTGAGCTCTTGCATTGGGAACTTGTGAAGGGATATGGATAATCAGACTCCTCAATGAATTGAATCTGCAGAATGAAACTCATATGAAGGTTTATTGTGATAACATGGCCACTATATGGATAGTCAATAATCTCATTCACCATGATAGAACAAAACATGTGGAGATTGATAAACACTTTATTAAAGAGAAAATTGACTCAAAAGTAATTACCCTTGAATATATTCCTTCAAGTTCTCAAGTAGCTGACATTCTCACCAAGGGGCTCTTAAGAGTCAAATTTGAAGATCTGAGAAGCAAGCTAGGTATGCTAAATATCTATCACCCTGCTTGAAGGGGAGTGTTGTTATGCACCATGATAGCTCTCAAAAGTGGAGAGCTATCCTTTATATTTTATCATTGAATTCCCCATTTTTGCTGTTATTTTTTGTTGTTTATAACCAAGTTTGTATCCAGGAGCACTTTGGGTCGAAGCAACTGATGTTTCTGGGAATTAGGGAGTACCGGATGTGAAGTGGTTTACTTCTATTATTTTCGGGTTTAATGGACTGTTTTACATTTTCAGGAAACCTAATGACGAACTAAAGAAAGCCCAATTCAGATAGGAAGCAAACTAGGGAGAGAATGAAGCAGAAAAAGACAAAAAGAAAAAAAGCAACAAAAAGCAACTTGTACATGCGACCTTGGTCTGAAAAGCAACCACACTGCAGATGGACATGTCAGAACAGCAGAGAGGAGGGACATACAACGTTTTGCAACGTCTCAGCACCAAAAATTTAGAAAAAGTAGAAAGAAGAGAGGAACAGAAGAATATTTAGGGTTGATCTGGCAATGAGCACGTCCCTGATTAGAGAGCAACTCATGAAATTTGGACCATTGATTGATCAAGGGACGTGATCAACTCATGAAGAATTCACCACCTATAAATACTGAAGCAATTACAACCTTCAAAAGCTTTTGGCACCATTTTAGAATGGACTCATCGTTCTCTTTAGGATTTTCTAGTTTATGTTCTTAATTTGTAATTAGTTTCCGTTATGCTCCTTAGTATGAGCTAAGTCTTTTTATTAAGAAAGGGTGAAGTAGAAATATCCCTATTTGTCTTAGGTTGAACTTATTATGTAAATCTGTTTGCATTAATGAATTTGTGTTGCTTCTTGGTTTAACGTTCCCAGTAGTGTAAAACCTCCTTGCTAGTGAAAATCATCGAAGGATAATTCTCTAGTAGTGTAACCCCTTCAAGGTAGTGTAGAAAACCAACGAATAATCTTAAGGTATTCGCTCTCACTGAGAGGGATATTTAGAAGTAAGGAGCACTGTCGTGTGTAAATTGCTTTGGCTAGCAATCCCTTCAGCCAACTTCGGAGAAGAAGGCAGCCTTATCTCCCTTCGATTTTAACTAATGAGACTTCTAAGGTAGTTTGGAGAAAATAAGGCCTTTTTGCCTCTACTTGCTTTAGGTAGTGAAACGTGTAGACAGAGGAATCTGTCTCCGTAGCCTAAGAGGTTGTTAGGAGCATATATCATTACTGGGACGACCAAGAGGGTGAAAATACCAACTCAAGCCTATGTCTTTTATTCTCGAATCACAATATTTTTTAACTTGTTGAAATTTCTAAAAATTCCAAAAGCATATTTCTTTCTACTCTCTGTTTCGATCATTGTTCTCAATGTTAATGATTTTCAATTGTTGCTCTCATTTCCAACATTTTCCAACTTCTTTCGAGGCAAGTTCAGTCAAGTTTAAGGGATAAACCCAATCTTTAGTCACTTCAGATCGTTTACTCTATTCAATTAGATGGTGACAAAGTACTTTTTGGCTAACCTTAAGTCTTAGAAAAATTGGTTCCTTGTTAAGAAGTGCTCTTACTTTCTATTGCCCTCAGTCATTCCTTTCTCTATTTACATTTCTTTTAACGCAACTTTTACAATTATTCTATGAGGACGATAATCAGAGGCTCACGAGAATCCTTGTATTGCTTAATGTGTACGCTTGCATAGTTTGGATAGATTTGCTCTCTAATTGATTGCTTGCTCCTGGAACATATAATTGCTCCTCACATTTTTTCTCTCACTTGACCTCGAGCAGAGCTCGGCCCAACACACCACAATAATTGTTCCCCAATAATTACGCTCCATCATTGCTTGATTTAAGAAAATTATTCTGATGTTATTAATTTTTCAATTTGTATATATTCGCTTCCTAATCTGTTATGATTTCATTTCCGTTTTTTTATGCTGATTTTTTTCCCTAATTAGTTTGCAACTGAGGATCGGGATGATTATTTTTTTCTTGATATATCCCTAAGATATATAAGATTCCAATCTATTTTATAGGGATTGTACCCTTCATCTCAGGAAAAAGGCTGACCTGATATAAAACCTTTATTCTCTATATATTATACTAATCCCCTTGATGAAAAGCAAGTTAGAAATCTGAATTATGCAGAAAAGTTATTGTTCCCTTCCTACTATGGACGTGACAACAATGGGGCTTTAGGATCTAGACAGTGCACTTCAGATCCAGCGGAAACTTTTTCAGTTGCTGAAAAATTGACCAGATGAAGGATTCTTGCTCGAATGAGGCGCAACAAGATGGGCTCACCGGTTTTGAGGTGAGGTAAAAAAAGATGACTCGGCAGTGAGCATAGTGTGCTTGGAAGATTTGCCATTGGGCAAAAGAAAAAGTGGGACTAGGGTTTCATCACAACAGAAGTTGCAAATCGCTTTGGTACCAAATTAAAATTTAGAGAGTAAAGCTACTAGGGTGAATTGTGTGTCCATAAAAACCCACACATATGAGGGTAATACAAACAATGATTCAATCCCTGATATATATAATCCTAACTGACTCTAGTTATATAGATGATATCCTACCATATATAATTGCGAAATTCTAACATATTCTAACAATATATTCTAATAGGAGAAAAAATAAAGAACCCAAGAAGAATATGGGAGAGTGAAAGGTCTCTTGAATACCCTGTGTTATCTGTTCTATTTCAGTCTTTGTCTTTCATTGTAAATCCAGTGCTGACAGATCAATGATATCAGTATCCACATAAGAATAACACAAAGGGTTTACTAAATCTGATTGAATTTGATTGAGTTTCCATCAATTTTCAAAATGAAGGTTTGAGTTAAAAGTTGACTAACAAACATGAAACTAATATATTGCAGAGGTATAAGACAATGAATATGATAAAGTAGATGGTCTTAGACTCTTAGGCTTTTTCATCTGAACCAAAATCCATTTTTTATTATCAATATCATGAAAAATAGCAAGCCAGTATAAACAACAAAAACATCTCAAGAAATCCCAACCTGACAAGGTAGGGCTGAGAAAATTCTTGTATGCAGTCTTAACCTTGTATTTTTACGAAGAAAGTAACTACGCATACGAAACGTACCACATAATAATTAGCAATCAACTTATATTCTCTCGATATATAATATCGTTTGAAACATGAAAGCTAATTTCAATTCAGTGGCAATTAAATTGTCTAAAGCGTCAGGGTTGATAAGGAACCATCATTAGCATTTTAGTCATATAGCAAGAGACCTATGTAAATAAATTTAAGACAAATAAATGAAAATGAATATAGACCTCTTTCCAGTGATGGCAACAGAAAGACTCACCAATGGCTTTCCAGATGGTAGCAACGGATTCTCTGTTGGATGCCGCCTAGCCACATTGTCAGCTCCTACAACTATACCAGGCAGATCCCGGAAATTTGCTCCCTACAGTAATATTAAATTAAGGGTTGACAGGGAATGGATCGAAAGTACAATAGATTATCTTAATCCAGAGTTACAACCTTTCGTTTTGGAATTTGACAAACACGTAGGTAATCATCTTCAAACAAAAAGTAGGGCCGGTGATCATATAGTAAAGGCCTTTTCTCTGTTGCTCCATCTAAAGTTGACCCAGTCATCTCTACTCAAAATGAATAAAGACAAAAGAAAAAAAAAAGATGAACTGATGTTTGGTCAAAAGATTTATTGCCAGGATACATCAGAGAACAATAAAAGGAAGAAAAACTGTAAACAATGACTATGAAAAAAGCATAAGAACACTACCAATTGGGATGAACTCAACTAAGCTTAACAAATTGAATCAGGAACAATTTAAATGCAAACTTCTATTTACATGTTTTTAATATTACAAATGAATGAAGAGTCAACGGTCATAGAGAAACATTGCATTTAGCATGCAAAGTAAACATTAACACGATTTCATGATTAGTAACAAGTTATGTACTCAAGGAAAGGTATTATTACCATACTCAGTTGACCTTATATATCTTTGAAATTCTGTTTGTGGAAGATTTTGGTATGACATTTCTTCACGAGTTTCACAGTTTGTGACCTATGACATTGAATATGTCAAAATCAAGATAAAAAAACAGTAAACAATAAGGAAAAAGCTCCTCTGAAGTAAGATTGTGTATAAAGTGAGCACGGGTATATACAATCCTGAATTTTAGTGAGTTAAGATCATGATGAACTTTTTTTTTTTTTTTTTTTGATAACAGATCATGATGAACTTTAAATCAAATGAAGGATATACCCTTGTTCACTTCAGAGACAAGCTCACTTTAGAGGAATCTTATCCAAACATAAAAAAGAAAGCAAATGTAGAACAGTACAGCAGGAAGATCAGAGATGGCATCTTGAATAACAATAGCTTTCTCTAGTTCACGAGGTTGGCCTTCATCATAAGCAACAGTATTGCGCTACAAATAAAAGCCAAAAAGTAGTGAAAAATAGACAGGACTTCTGATATAATTTTTTTACAATAAAGCATGAGGATCAATATACCTCAAACTCCAATGGAGGCCAGTATTTAACAATAACGTCATGTGTTGGCAGTGGAAATTGGGGTAGAACCTGTTAGAGAATAACAAATAAGAATAAAACAAATTCTTTAGACCCACGAAACTTAAAATATTGGCTACATTAGATGATAAACCACAAGGAACTAGATGAGTGCTTAAGGAAAATCGCAAAGTTGCATAATGGAGTGCCCTTAGTTGAAAATGATTGGAAGCTTTTCAGTGAGGAAGATTTCCAGTTGAAAAGAACCCATCCAACTTCAATGTTTGGGCAGTTTAAGGAATCAATTGTATAATTTTAGACTTGACATCCATTTAACTGAGAGGGACTACCCTTTGGGTAATCTATTTCTTTTGTTTTTCAATCCTACTTCCTTTATGTATGTTGCACCATAGTTGAGTTCACCTTAAAGGCCTTTTTTTCCTATACAATTGCTATGCATCCCAAATATTTCTATACAAACACATCATAAGCAAATGATAGATCTTTTCTATTTTTCCTGTTACAAAAATGGATGTTAGAACTTTGGCTATGGTATGCTTTGTTGCATATCTTTACATATCTGATCCCAGGCAAAGCCCGGGTCAAAGAGGAGGGTTTGTGTTAGGAAGTCAAAGATCAAGGTAAAACTTTGTCGAATCTTTATGAAATTGATAGATGATATTATTGTGTTAATGCTAGGTTGTTACACATAAGTAACTCACTGCATGGCTCAAGTACAATGTCAAATTTGTAACAGCCACTGCATCGTTACCCAGGTGTAGTGAAAAATAAGCAAGGGTTCCCAAATTTTCATGAACGGGTGTGGGTAAAGAAGCCAGTTCACAAGAGAGGGTTCATTTTGGAACTTGGAATGTTGGCAGACTAACAGGTAAATCTATGGAAACAGTGACAACAGTCTCGTTTTGGAACTTTGCTCGAAAGCAATCCCTGAAATTATGAGATATACAGCTGAAAGCAAATCCTTAAATTATGGGATATATGGCTGGAAAGCAATCCCTTAAATCACGGGATATACGTCATCTTTTTCCCTTATTTCTAAGGATTGCCCAATATATTTTGGTTTTAGCTTTCTGATTGTGGCTATACATATTGTACAAACCAGTCCGAATAAAATGAGAAATTGAATATATTCTCCATACTCTGATTATAAGGTATCAGAGAGAAGTTCTTCGTGCTAGATGAAAATTGTGTATATATTCATGGCTGAAACACCCACCACAACATAAAACCCCAAACAATCTGTAAACAACCAATTCAACCCAAAAGCTTAAGCTAGTGGGTGAGAGTTTTTTTAAAGGTTTTACATATCTCAACACGCCCCCTCACACGAGAGCTCACTGGGCTTAAAGGGTGAAAAATGCACAGGCCCACCTACCTGTGCGAACAAAGAAATTCCACTTGAAAGAAAGTGGGGGGCGGTGAGGATCGAACCCGGTACACCGAGGCTCTGATACCATGTAAAGAACCAATTCAACCCAAAAGCTTAAGCTATTGGGTGAGGCTATATTAATGGTTTTATATATCTCAACACAATCACTCAGCCAACCATCCAGCTAACACCCACCACTCAAACTAGCTTGCTATGGCTCCATCCCTCCATGCTATCATCCTAAACCCTCCTTGTCACTAGAGAGAAAGGGAAAATGGGCTATCTTACAAGAGATATTGCTGCTCCTCCAACCTACGATCCATCCTACAATAATTGGGATGCTGAAAACTCCATTGTCATGGCCCGGTTGATAAAATCAATGGATCCCCAAATAGGCCAAACTTTTTGGAAATGAAATTCAAGCGTAAGTGGTCCCACGTTGGTTAGAAATGGAGCAAGTGAAGATCATATAAGTGAAAAAGACCCATTGACTCTAGTTACAAGAGTTGATTAGATGAAGGATAACCCAATATTAGAAGTAGAGGAAATTCCAAGAAAAAATTTGAGTGAATCCATTAACAAAGATTCAGATCTCTATGAAGAATTAGCTTTAGATTGAACACAAATGGCGTCATTTCTTCTCTGCCGTTGAAGACATTGGTTGAGATGTTTGATAAAGAGGGACGTCTTTGTATTATGTTCTACATTTATCAGCTTTATTTAACACCGATTTATAATACTGACCTCACTAGGATGAGCACCCCACAAGAAAACACGCAATCGAAATTGTGGAAGACCATAACATCCAGCAGCAATGATTCCCATTCTTGCTTGGTAATTCATATGTACCAAACGACTTAATGCATATCTTCCAAGTGAACCCTTGTCAAATCTCAATATATCAACCACATTCTCCATTAAAACATACTTAGGCTTCAAAAATTTCACAATGTCCATGAAAACTACAATCTGACGATTTCTTTCATCATCCAGTGGTGATGCAGTGTTTCTATAGCGATTATATCCACTAATTCCTTGACAAGGGGGACCCCCACAAATAACATCAACATCACCCTGCAATGATTTTAAGCAATAGTTCTATTTAAAATGCAAACATCCTTCAGGACTGTATCAATTCTAAGCCATTAATAGACTACTTACAGGAAGAGGCAAGAGTTTTGATTTCATCCCTTTTCTCACAAAATCCTGTATGCTTTCCTTACATTTACTACAGATACAAATAAATAAGTACTAATGCACCAAATTTAGTTAATATTGTCAATCACATTGAAGAGAATCAAGAGATATACCTCATGTTTTCAATTGGTTCCCATGTATCTTCACTTGCACTGTAACCCTTCCAATGCACCTATGAAAAAACTATGAGAATGTAATTTTCATCAAGTTATGAAGTTGAACATTATTAGAGATTCAATAGGGAAAAATATGGGTAAAATATTAGTTGGTAAAGCACCCATTTTTCACTGTTAAAGGGGCTTACGTTGTAAAGTTAGTAGCACTAAAATTAAGCTTATTTTACCATGAGTAAAATCTATGAACGAAGCCTGCCCAGTCCCTTTATCCATGAAACATGATAGCTAGTGGTATCTTAAAATCTGTAAAATCAAAAGGATCTGAGCACTGAAAAAGAAAGGTTGATTTTAAGCAGGCAAGTCATCATCTCAATCTCACTTCATGTTTTCTTTCTCTTTTCTTTTACTGATGGAGGCAGGAAACAAACCTTTTTAAACTTATGCCTTTTTAACCTATGACAATTGTCTCTCTCTTAATTGGAGAAATATATAATTAGAGTATATGTGAACTTGAAAAATTTGCAAGTACTAGTCAACATGAGTGTCGCATGATTACTTCTCTATCTAACAGCAGGTAAACAAATATATCTACAAAATAATTTCAAGAATAAGGTTTTAATTGGGAAAAAAAATGAATACCTAAAAGTTGACATTGGATTTATTACCTTAAAATATATTGTACGTTTCCCTGTTTCACTGGGATCACCGTAGCATATATCAACTAACCTAGAAACTTCAAGTTCAAGACTAGGAATTTCATGAGCATGACAATTCACTTGTTTCTTTGTTGCTGAGGTCTTTGATCGTAATTGAAGCATGCTTTCTGCATCTTTGCCTTTATACCGTTTGCATAGCTTTTCCCACTCCTTCAATAGTTCCAGAAAGTCCTCAGCAGATTCATTTCTCACCTATACAATGATGAAAGGAAAATATTATCTCCGAATTTGATAAGTTAACATCAAATATATTTGTTGTAGCAAAAGATAGTCAGCACTCACATATGTATCTGGATGGTTTAGTTTCAAGCTTTCACTTGCAGACCTATCACTATCAACAGCCCATCTCTGAGCAAAAATGCGACCAAAAGTAAGATCAATGTATCATAGATGATGTTTTAAGTATTTCATGGAAAGGAAGAATTTCATTAGTGGTAAGGATTTCATTTATAATACCGTGACAAGATTAACTGATGAAATTTTGGCCCCTAAGCACAATCCAGTTGACATGCCACCACAGCCAGAATAGAGATCTAGTAACGCTAATTCTGTCTTTTGCAAATCAGAACTGGGTAGACTCTTGGTAAGGGTAGACGCCTCTGTTGAGAGACTCTCAAGAACAGCAGGCGGTGATAATTCATTAATCTTAACAGGATTATCTAAGGCAATATATAGACACCTTTTAGATATAAATCTTAACAAAAACGAAAGATATTTAAAGAACTATGTTGGAACATCTCATATTGCAGTTTTTCTAAAAGATTACCCAATTTGAACTTTGTTTTCAATAAAACAGTTCAAGGAGCTAATATTGACCACTTAAGAACAAATGAAACTTAGAAGAGATTTATCATAACATGACAAGGGAATAGATGAATATGGATTATTATTGTATGCATGACAAAAATCAAAATAGCTATGAGAAGCATGTATACAGAAGTTGTTACCTACTGCTAAAATAAATATTGTTATTAAGTTTTAAGGCTCCCCAGACTCCTTTTCTCTTTCCTCTCTCCAATGACAGATCAAACAAGAAAAAAACAGATATACAAACTGATGAACAAAAGCATTTTGTGCTCCCTCATGACATACCTGTTGGTATGTTGTGGAATGCAGAGTAATCCACACAATATTCCATATCATAATAAAAGTCAGATGGTAAAACAGAAGTAAACTTCAGACCAACCTGCAAGAAGTAACACAGAAAAAAATTGGTAATTGCATTTACAAAGACAGAAGTATAAACCTTACAATTGGCAAAAGAAATGCCGCCATCATATGATGAAATTGTGAACAAACAATTAAGAAAGATCTTAAGGGAGATGTGCAATACCCTAGGTTTTATAAGTGTAACATTGACTTTTGCTGTTATGCAATCTATTAAGTTATCATTCATTATTGATGAATAGAATAAACGCCTCTTGTCATGAAAACCACCTTCATCTTGGACGACCTGAAAATCAAATGGAAGCAAGCAACAATTACAATGTCATATCCTTAGACATGACCAGATAAATGTCACAATATACTCAGTACTCACCGTATCTTGAATTCTGTAAAACCATTGGACTCGGAAATAATTTTTGCTATCAGTTGTTTGGAAAAATTCAATAATCTTGCCAACATATTTTTGTTCTCCTTCACCCTATAAGAATTACTTAGAATGTAAGTATAACTTGCTCTCATATTATGTTCACATGAGATTTTGAGGTACAAAAAAGTCACTAACATCCACAAGTTACTCACCAGCTCTACAATGGAGTGTAGAAAGATTAGTGTGACTGGCCATAATCACAAGCATGCTAAAAGGAAACTTTGCTAATAAAGTTGATGAATAGAATATATAGAGCAGTTATGATGAGGATGTTTTCAATAGAGGTTTCAAATCTTACATTTAATATCTGGAGAAATTCAACTTCAGTAACATTCATTTATCAGGCATACAGTTAATAAGTTTCTAGCTATTTACATGGCACTTATCTTGGATAAGAGTCTACAATGCCCTAAGCACCCTTGTTAACAATCCTTGACTTTCATCAATCATCCACTAAGTAAAATATATTTTTGGATGAGAAAATTAAAAAGGGAAAAATGTGCAGACACCAGCTGATATTTATTTACGTCATTTTGAATTGATCACACTGTGAACTTTCAAATCAGGAATTTTCTGAAAGCTTCAGATAAACCCTTCCATCTACAATGGGAATCTATACAATTTTTTCAATTAAAATCTAAAAGGGTGAGAACTGAAAACCAAGGCACGAAAAAAAATAAAATAAGATAAAACTTACAGATATTAATATGCCGTTAAACTGATATTGATTTGCCCCAAGCCCCCAACCACAAAAATCTACCAACTAAATTGAAGCAGCTTGGGAAAAAATAACAATAGAAAAGGATTTTTTTTTTTTTTTTTTCCCTTCAATTCTGATTAAAATAGTGCGATGTAGTCTAAGAAATTAAACTTTTAGAAAATTCGGAAAATTGTGTCCAATAAAGAGCTAAAATATTGAAAGAAGTAAGAGAAAGGAATTTTAAAGTGGTTAAGTTACATCAAAGGAAAAATTGGAGAAGAAGAAAGGGACGTGAATTAGGCTACTTATATAGCCTTAAAATTAAGAGTTAGCAAAATGAAATTTTTTTTTTTTTTTTATAACAAGCAAAATGAAATTTAACTTGTATAAATTGTTGTTGCACAAGCTCAATGTAGAAATGGAATGCTGTAGAAAAATATGGAAGCACGTATGGAGGATTACATTATAATATATCTTAATAAAAGAAGAAAATTAATGTGACTAATCCAAACATGTAAAAGTTTACAATTAAGGTTATTCTGGTCGAACTGCAAATAAATTTTCCACAGTCCAACTGCAAATTCTGGACAGGTAAGAGATGAACAGGGAACATGCTTGTTTTCTTAACTATGCACTTACTTTTATAAATGCACAATCGCCAAGACTAAAAATGCAATTCCCAATTTCAGCTTGAGCATAATGGCATTTGACATTTACAATAATCTCATCTTCTTCATCCTCACTACGAAATCAGCAACATCAAAAATAAATACATTGTGAAGAAATTAGAAAATGTATCATATGAGAGAGAGTGTTAATAGCCACAACAGAGTTTGTGAATTAGTTAATACTTACTTTATTTTGTTGCATTTTTTGTCCTGCAAGCATCAGCAGAAAAACTAGATAAATAAAATATAGAAAAAAAAATGTGCTAGAATTAAGTAGAAACCAACAAAACTTTTTATTTCATAAAAAAAATAAAAAATTGAATGCAGAAATGACCAACATGTTATGCGAAACAAAAATGGTTAATATTTTCTTTCCTCTTTGGGCACAGCATACTGAAGTTCTAATAGCATGAAAAAGCATACTGAAAGAATAAGGCAACAACCTTCAATTCATAACGCCATCCCCATCTTTTCTGAGCTTCATCATCAGGTATTGGATCACCAATGAAGGAAGGAGTGTTTTTTTCATCCATACTTTCGTTTGTTAAACAAACAGATGCTTTAAATTTCTTTCTTGGGGAGTTGCCATCTAACTCAGGCAAGACAAAGGAATCAGAACTTGTTCTGTCATTTTCAACCCAGGATGGGGATGTGATTGCCTCTGAAGACCATCTCAAGCATTTTTTATCATTAATTCTAGGAGTAGAGTTTCTTGACGTAGTTTTAGCATTGGAATGCTGTTCAACTGGTGAATTAGACAACTCAAAGGAAGTAGAAATCACTTTTGTAATTTTCTTCTTTTGGTGAACTGATGTTGAGATTTTTTTTTCTTGAGAATCAATACTTTGCAAGTTTTTATTCCCACTTGAAGATGAAAGTCGTGGAGATCTCCTAAATTCCATTCCAACACACAGTCTTGGAGATTTTCTTAAACTCTTTTCCTGAATGAATTTCCCATCCAAAACTGATTTGTGGTCCTTTAGGTCAGCACTACAAAATCAAGAAGCATTATGTGGCCTAGAATTGAAACCATGAAAATTGAAGCAATGAATGTAATTACAGGAAAGTGAAGTACTAAACATGCTTTCAAGTTTTTCACTCACTTCAATGGTAATTCTGGACCCCTAGATCTTTTCCGCTGCATAACTCAAAAATCATTAGATAGAATTTTAAACCATGAAAACGCGAACAAAATCAAAGGTATGTCAACAATGCTGTAAATTGTGTCAACGTGTTATTACAAATAATAAAAGGAAAAAAAATAATATACATAGACCAAAAATGAGGATGGTTAATAGTAGAAGCAGTTCAGGTTGAGGACAAGGGAACTAAAGTAACAACACTCAGAGAATCAAATAAGCTTTAAAAATAATAACAACAAAATTTCACGTCACAATTCAAGAATAGGTATAGCAACTATGCTTCATGAGACAGATAAAGCACATAAAATTTCATATAAATTAAAAACTTGATACTGTAAGTCCATAACAATATTTGCATTAAAATGCAAATATATTTTTAAAATATAAGTAAATGTCGTCTATTAGGCTGAATAGGTATAAATATCCAATATATCTATAATTTGGTACATGCATAATCATCAATAACACTAAATTTGTTAACTTTGCATTCTACAAAGAGTTGTTCAATGAGGGTGTTCTATAAGTGAATCCCTTTTGATAAAATAATTATTATTGTTTAAAAAAAAATCATTTTAAATCTTCTCGAGCCGAAGCATTTATTTTCAAATCGCAAACAAAAAAAAAATTAAAAGAAAAATTAATAGCAGCCAAGTTTTACCCAAATTAGCCATCTTACTTTTACCCAAATCATAAAAGATAACATGCATTTGTGATAAGATAAAATGGTATTATTAACGAGAATCCAGACCCAAAAAATAAAAAAGGAAAAAGAAAACAACAACAAGAAACATGAAAAAAGAAATTGAAACAAACAAAAACGAGAGCACACGCAAAGGGGAAGAATTTTCAGTGACACACCTTAACACCGTGACCGGAATCTGTTGCAGCAGTCGCCGGGAATCTCGGGGACCGTCTCAGAGGAGACATCTCCTCCCACACTACCAACTCCAGCTTTCCCTTTCCCTTTCTCGAGCTTGATTCACCAGCATTGCCGGCTTCTGCGTCGGCGGCGCCTCCCTGAGCTGAATTCAGCCTCGGAGACCGTCTGAGATTCTTTTTAAGCGGCATTTTGACGGCGGGGGAAGTTGGAGCCGCAGCGGCTGCGGCGGTATCTACCTTCTCGTAATGTTGGCAATGAGATTTGAGAATTGAGGTTTTGACTGCTCCCCTAAAATACGTTGAATAAACGTTGGTTAAGGGTAAAAATAGCAACAGGGGGTGAAAACCGAGAGAACTTAGTAATAGATATTAGATAGGGGAAGTTTGCATGTGTTTGAAAATTTAAGTGCAGATCTAACTCATCAACCAAACTCAAAAAAAAGTACAAAAGCATGCGTGAGTGAGTGAGTGATATCATTTTTGTCAGAATATATTATTTAGTTTTCAATTAATTTTATAATAAACAAAAACTGTTTTATATTCAAAGTAGTGATAAAATGTTTTTCGATGATTATTTTTAAAAACAAGTTTTAAATCAAAGGAAAATTGTGTGTATTTTAAAAGATATAAAGTTATGTTATTTTAAGAGAAAGAGAAAGAAATAAATAAAAGAGGAAAGAGAATTGACAAAATAAAAAAAAAATGTGAATCTCATTTTTATTTTTTTTGATAACAGAATCTCATTTTTTTGTGAAAATGAAATAACATAAATTATATCATTTAAAATAATAAATATTCGTTCCTCAAACTAAACTAAAACAATATTTGGATTTGGATAAGTTCCCTGTACATCTGTGTGCACTCTCTGCCTGATCCTATTTCATCCTAATAACGGGGCGTTTTTGGTGTCACGGGAGAAAATGCGATACTCGTAATATTAATTATGAAGAAAAAAATAATAAATGATATTAAATGAATTATTTTTTTCAGTTTTAATAAATTATGTACTGAGTATTAACTACGCGTATCCAAAAAAATATTTTCTTATACTATCCAAAAAAATATTTTCTTAATAATGATCTTACTTTATAAGAATCAACTCACTATGACCTCAATCTCATCTTGATATTAATTAGACTTCTGTTAGAGTTGAGAAGTTTTTTTTAAAAAAAAAATCTATGACCTCGTATAAATTATTTAAATTCATAATTGCTAGATCAATCCTAATGATTCAGGGATGAAAAGTTTTAATTTTATTATTAGTGAGTAGCTTTAGAAGTTACAAAGAGATTATATTGAAAATAATATTTTTTTCACATTACTAATTGGTTCATTCATTACTTGATTAGTTCGATTTAAGTCGAGAAAGATTACATTAGCGGCAAAATTCTTCTTACCAAATTATAAAAGAGTTACATTCTCCAAAACTCAAACTCAAAATCACTTATTTAACCGTAAATTTATTTATTTCAAAGCCTTCTTAATTCTTGGATTGACACGGTAAAACCCCTATTTTGACCGTCTGTTTTCATGTTACCGTAATTTATTATTAAAAATAATAATTTTAAAAATTAGAGAAAGAAAACTTTATTGCTCAGTTAATCCAGGGCATTTAGCGCTTAGGGAGTAGTCAAAAAAAATGTCTCATACAATTTATTTTAATGGTGTACGCAAAGGGAGCTTCAAGGCACGTAGCACTTAGGAAGTATATATATATATATATATATATATATATATATATATATATATATATGAGGTAGGATCCTTGATATCAGTGTTAAATTTGAAATTTAACACCTCACTTGAGAGCCATTAGATCAAAAAAGATTAACGACTCTGATTTGTAAGCATATGACATCATTGATCTTTTTTTATCTAATGGCTCTCAGGTGAGGTGTCAAATTTTAAATTTGACACTGGTGTCAAAGTATCCTACCTCATATATATATATATATATAGAGAGAGAGTTTTATTAATCTCATGTTAAAGGAGATAAGTTATCTCATGTCATAAAGATAAATTTGTGGGTTCCACCACCTTAAAAAAAATAAAAAATAAAATGTGGCACAATTATCGAAGGGTGTGTAGGAGAAAAAGTTATCACATGTAGCATAAGAGTAATTTTTTCCATATATATATATATATATATATATATATATATATATATATATATATATATATGTTTCCAAAAAAAAGTAATAAAAAAATATGTCTCCCACAATTTTTTTTCTGTATGTTCATAAAGTCAGCTCATTTGGCAAATATGTGCAATATGCATGTGATACATCACAATTGCCACGCAAATTCTTCGTAACTTTTTCTTCTATCAAAATTTTTGTAAGCACCACAAGATAATATTGTTTGAAAAAATTAAAGACATGTATATAATAAGAATTAAATTTGGCTTAACAATTATTTTCTTTCGAAAATGTCTCAATAGTGAAAAAAGAAGCAAGAGTTTTTTGAAAAGTGAAAGCACGAAAAAATGGTCTTTTTAAAAATTTGGAAATACATAGAAATGACCTAGTTGAAATGTCGAAACTCAAAGACATGAAAGAAAATGCACAATAGATTGAATGATTAATATATTGGCCTTTGAGAGCAACAAGAATTTTCCAAAATGGGGAATTCACAAGTAAAAAGAGAGAGAGAGAGAGAAAAGAGGAGCAGTGATAAAAGGATGAAAATTTCTAGTTGAAAGAAAAAAACTGAGAAAGGGAGAAGAATATACATAGCGAAATAGCTAGAGACAAAGAGGTGAAGGAAAAGAGGTCTTGTGTTTTTTTTTTTCTGAATCGCTTAGTTTAGATAAATCATGGGGAATTTTGATGAGATAACAAATGGTGGAGTCGGGAAAATTTTTAGAGGGGGAGAAATTATAATGTAAATTTTTCTTTGAAGTCATGACTATTTTAAAATAGAAATGATACACACAATTAAAGGCTTTTATAAATTTTGACGAGGGAGATCACTAACTATATGATGAAAAAATGAAAAATAATTTTAAAATTTAAAAGCTTTTACAAAATGAGGGGGCTAGCCCCTTTCTCACTGAATGTAAGTACCCTTAGAATTTCGTCCCTTGAAAGTTTTCTTGTTGGTCATTTGAATATATATCTTACTCTGAACATGTAAACGGATGATCTAGAAAAGGTTCTCAATTTTAATGGATTACGAGATATGCATGAGTTGTCTTCATCAATAGAAACATTAAAATTATTTTATTAAAATTAAAAAGGTGTGATTGAACTATATATGGTCGTTTGTTACACCGGTGCTTTTTTTTATCATGGATTCATGATAAGTTAATCGTGACAGCTTCATGATTCCAACTAATTTAAATTTATTATAAATTTTGTATAGATTAAAAAATAATAATAATATTAATAAAATTATTAAAATTAATTTATTTTAATTATAAAATGATGATTGAGTCGTGACCCCTTAGTAACCCAACCATTTAGTTTAGGGTCACTTTTTTTTTTGGTAATCAGTTTAGGGTCACTTTAGTTCTGGTAACTTGATAGTCCAATCTTAAATTTATCATAAACTTCGTACAAATTTTAAAATTAAAAAATGGTTTAAAAAATGCTTTTATAAATGGTTTAATAAATTTATCATAAAAGTGTGTGAGACTCATTTTTTTTTTTCACATGAATCCACATGGACCGCACATACTTTTATATGTGTATAGGAGATAAATTTATTCTAACAAGATGAGAAATATTAAACCAAATAAAAAATTAAATAATTTGAAAGTGATCACATAGCCGTAATAATGACTTTCACTTAGAGTTAGTTTAGCTGTGTAGCTTCTAAGTTTTCAAACTTAAAATAAAATTATATTTTTAAGAAGTTAAATTTAACCAACCTATGAGCTTTTTTAGAGAACAATATACTTTTGATCAGTTCCGTATTATTCAAGGAATACGTCAAAGCAAGAGTTTGCCTGTTACGTTAAAATAAAATTATCACAAATTAATTTTTCTTAGTAAATAATCATTAAATCCATTTCATTCTATTTTTTGTGATTAACAAATATTTTAATATTTATTAATTATTTGCACAATTAACTTAAGGTAGCTGTTTTTTTTTTTAAATGGTTGTATTAAAAAAGTAATGAAATTAAGTTTTCACCGTTCATTGTACATAATTTTAAAACGTAATCTTACCTTTCAAAGAATAGTTTTCAAAATAATAATGGTTTTCTAATTTTTCCCGATTAAAATAAAATGATGGTGATTTCATTGTTTTGATTTATTCTTAAATGGTCTCTTCATATCATTATAAATGACGACTCCACATGAAATTGTTGGGAGTCGAATATAACATAGTTATTCGTGAATATGATTTATAACTTTTTATTCATTGATTTAACTCTTTCATTACCTTGTCTATTTTTTGTTGTGCAATTTCACAACTCTCATAACAATAACACCTTTATGCAAGTGCACATTATCAATAATTAATATAGGATTTATGAGTCTGGATATTGTTTAGATGAAGAAAATTATAAAATTTAGGTCAATGTAAAGCCATAAAAGTAATAATTTTGAAGATTTAAAATATTAAAAAATTTACCATTAACTAAACTTAGCTAAAAGTAAAATAAGAGTGCACTTGTTTATCAAAAAAAATAAAAATAAGAGTGCACTCAACAATAGAGAATTCAAGAATCAAAAGTAGATTGAGATCGATTTTTCTAGTATTGTAACTAATACCATAATGTTGGAACCAATGTTGTAAGACCCGACTCGATTATTGACTTGGTTAGGGTAGCCAGCCACTGGGTTAGTGGTCCGATCGGTAAGTCATTGGTTGAATCACTTAAATTGAATATGTGTGTGTGTGTGCCACTGGGTTAGTGGTCCGATCGGTAAGTCATTGGTTGAATCACTTAAATTGAATATGTGTGTGTGTGTGCTGTGTGTGTGTGTACTGGGTTAGTGGTCCGATCGGTAAGTCATTGGTTGAATCACTTAAATTGAATATATGTGTGTGTGTGTGCGCGCGCAGTGGCGGACGCAAGAATTTTAATAAGAAGGGGCGAAAATAAAAAATATTATATCATAAATAAAAGTACTTGAAATACAATACAAACTTAATATACAAAAAATTGAAAGAAATCTATTACAGAAATTAATATCACTTCAGTTACTATTGCTCTACGTGTTTTCATATTATTAAAC